CTTGGGGCGTAGGCGTCGTGTAAGCATTTTGCGTAGGTGGGTGTTGAAAGACTTGCGTAGGCAGTCTTGTGTAGGCACACTTTTCATGAAAACATGAGTTTTCTTTAGACATTGTGCAAGGGTCTTGAGGAAAGATAATGTTGGCTTGTAGTTGTTTAACTTGCCACTTGCTTGCAAATTCCAGTATGGGAAGGAAAATGAATTGTAATGGCATGGCTACAGTGGATGTTTGAAGTTTGTTTGTCGAAGCTATGGGGGCGTCACACAGGTTTTTGAGGTCAAAAACTTGATCGTGCTTGGTCTGGCACACCGGCTCTTGAGCCACAAGTGTGCACACCCTGTTGGTATCATAATCGATGGACCTATTTTCGCGTAGGCCCCGCGTAGGCGCTCGCGGAAGCAGCGCGTAGGCAAGAAGCTATTGGCTGCTGCTACTGCTTGGCTGCTGCTGTTGCTGTTGCTTGGCTGCTGCTGCTGCTGCCTCTTGTTTTCTGCTGATTGTTTGCTGCTTGTTGTGTGCATTGTGCGCTGCTGCTTCCACACTGTATTTGGATTGGCTTGATACAGAATCTATTTGGCCATCGGTGGCAAAGCTGTAAATGCCTTGTAAACAGGAACCTGATATGACCCGGTCGCATCGGGCCACTACTTGCTGATTACTGTGTATATAGCTCTTTTCGAATCACCTGATGTGACTAAAGTTGGTGACAGTACCCTGCGTAGGCATCCGCGTAGGTACCTAACAAAGAGAACCTCTCGCGTAGGCATTTGCTTGAGAGGGGAGCCCAGGCGTAGGCACCCGCGTAGGTACAGACCCAGTGTATAAGCCCCACCACCCAAAAAAAAACAAACACAACTCAGGTGAGGATCAGAAGGACGAGGTGCACGGGAAGAAGAAGACGCAGATGATGTCATTGAGACTGGGAGAAACATGTTTGGCAGGGCTTTGAGTTTGTTGAGGATGTTAGTCCTTAGTGATCCTTAGTGAGAGATGATAGAAGGTGTTTTTTGACCCGGTTCCGTCGCTAACCTTCATGTAAAGATCGGGTAACCTACCAGAGTTTGTGGGACAAGCATCCATTTGCAAGCATTCACGGTGTGATCTACAGGGACATTGCTACTTGACCCAGATCGAGTCAGCTTTCTGTTGTAGGTGGGGCTGGCTTTGTAATGACTTTGGTGGCATACTTTCATACTTTGACCCTTTTTCTCGCATTTTCTCTCATTCATTTAGTCCGCAAAGTTTGCCCTTGATATTTGTATTTGTATGACATGGCATACTGCTAGTGATTGACCAATTCCACTTTCTTGGGGCCAGAAACCCTCAGAACCATTGAAGGACTGGCTCGTTTTGGGCAAGTTTGGGTGGGGATCTGGAACTTCCCCACTAAGGAGAGCGCAAGTCTTGGGCTCCTATGCCAAGGCCCAAGCCTCCTTGTGAGACTTGCCGCTAGCTCGGTAGAATGAAGGCCTAGGTTTTGGAGGTTTTCAGACGGGTCCATTCATTCCAAGAAAAAACTGGGAAGTCATCCACTGAACCCAAGGAAGACTTCAGTCTTTACAAAGCTAAAATTGTCACAGGGGTCACCTGTCTCAACCTCCTCGAGTCCTTGAGAGGTGAGCCAGGGAGGGAGAACTCTCAACAGATCCTTCGACCATCTTCGACCCCTCAGCGTCTCATGGATGCCAGTTGTGGCTCCACTTGGCCACATGAGCCATCTTCAGCCATCTTCACCTCAGGGATGGGTCTCTCCAGTGCCAGTGCCACGGTCTCGTGGTGTTTCTGCTTCCTCATTGGCTCCCCCTCAAGCACCTCATGTCGCCGTCGGACGTCGGCGCGACACACTCGAAGAGTATCAAAAACTTCTTGCAGTCCACCAAGTGGCTGCAAGCTTTAGCGACTGTCAGATTCACTGGCGGGCTGACTCCCACCAATCCCAAAGCTGTCGCTTCGCGTTGGTCAATGTTGTGTTTGAGTCCTCCCCCTGAAGCCAACAAGAACACAGAGCTCTAGGTGAACCCTGGTAGATTTGTGCCATTTAGGGTCCTATTTTTGTGGGTTTTGAGCCCGGGCCGGAGGCAAACGGCCCAAAAGGGATGACTCAAAACAATCAATGTAAGACTTGAAATCAGAGCTAAGCAGGTTGATAAGGTTCCTTTTTGGACCATTGCAAGGCGTTGTCTCACAAATTCTGAAGATGTGTTGTTGTTCATCCGATTCATCCAAGGAAAATCACGGAACATCCCGTTTTGGAACACTTCTTGAGCCCTTAGGGCTCCTGGCCCACATCCCTCTTCACGTAGGTGGGCTCTCGGGTGCCAGGTGCCAGGGGTGTGGTCACCAACCTGAGGACATGGAGCATTCATGGGATCACGGAGCCCACATCTGACTCTGCAAGACATCAAGAAGTCCAGTGTTGGTCCGTTCCTGTCGACCGGCTCTGAGCCGTCGGGTTCTTTCACAAGCTGAATCTACAGATCTCGACCAGCGAACCGGTCCCGGACCACGGTTGGGATCGGTTAGGAGATTCGAACCCAAGACGATTGGCTTGGTTGAAGTTGACCTACAACAACCGGACCGTCACTCACATGGAAAACGATTGGCCTACACTACACTTCCGGTGAAGTGACATCAGCCTACACCATACACCTACAGCTGGCAGTGACATTGGCTTAAGAAGTTGCACCTACACGGACCCGATGTCATTCCACATGGTGTAGGCCAATTGGCACCCGGATCGTCCGGCTGTGTCCTCTACAAGCCAGTGGTTCTAAAGGGTCCATGTGGATCGTCTGTGGCGGGGTAATTCAATGGTTGTGTGGCGACTGAGACTAAGATCGCCTTCTTGAATCTGGCCCAGCTCAATTCGTCTCATCGTAGGACACATCAAACTGGACGTGTCCAGCTTTTTCGGCTAGAGAAGGGCCGCCAGAAGTCCCAGGTCGCCAGAAATCTCTCGACATCGAAAAAGAACAAAAATTAACCTGGAGCTCACATCTGCACCACATGTGTGTTCTTCCCAAGCAGGTCGCAAGGCATGGTTGAGCAGACTTTCCTACTAGTACGAGTCTTGTCCATGAAGTAGCATTGACAGATGCAGAAGATGGCATAAATCCAGCGACCGAACTGCGTACTTTATAAAAAGGGTCAGACAGTCAATTGTGATCCCATGTACATTCATAAGACTGGGCGCCCGTACTCAGATGTACTCAGCATGCATGCTTTGTCTGAGCACTGGGATTTCGGGACTGAGAGGGATCACCGGATCTGTCGTTTCGATGGTTTCGATGGATACGCCGGATGTTTCAAGCATTACTCTCAGTTCTGAGCTGAGCCTGGTTGGGTGGGGGTTAGCTCGTTGGTGGTATTTTGGGGTTTGTGTCGTTCTGACTCCTGACTCTCTGACTGCTTAGTAGGGAACGAGGGGTTCTGACCCCGCACTACAGATTCATTAGCTCATTGGTTGTTTTTGTTTGGATGCTTCAAGCAGGAAGGTTGATGTTGGCTTGTTTGACATTCTCAGACAACCACAAATGGAACATGGAACTTGTTTGTTTGGCACCGGTGGTGGCATTTTGCGTGGACTGGGCACTCTCTTAACTTAACCCAGACTGGGCATTCGTTGTGCTGGGCGTGTTGCTTTGTTTGTTGTTGCTCATCTTGGAGAAATGGAGCTCCCACGTCCATCAGTCCATCAAGGAGCTTGGGACGCCAAAGTTAGACGGTACCCGGTACGAGACTGGCTGAACTGCAGCCGATCAGGCTGAACTGCAGCATTTGGAGAACTTCCCACATCTCATCTCAGATGAACTGGGTGTCTTGAGGAAGGTGTCGATCTATCCTTGTCTTTCTTGATGTCGTTGTTGAAAGCTGTGAGCATTGAACATGTTTTGTTCTTGCTTCCATTCCGAACCATCCCCCACCGGAATGGGTTGAGATGGTGTTCGATCTAGGCTTGGTTGGAGCTGGGCTTCTGGGGAGAAAAGCTGGGCTTCTAGCTTGGAGAAAAGCTCGTCACAACTTCAAGTGAGCAGGATGACTGCTTTTCGCCCTTCTCACTTTGGATTCTCTGCCCAGAACTCCAGCTCCCGTCAATCCAACTCACCAACTCACCCTTTTCACAGTGAATCGTCTAGATGCCCTTGTCACACTGCGGCGCCAGCGTGGAGGGACTAAAAGGAGAGCGGAGTATGCAGCGCAGCGCAGGAGGCCAGGCAAGGTGATGTGTGAAGAGGTTTGCAGGACTCATCACTTGTGTCTAGTTGAGATCTGGCAGCCAAAGCACACCATATATTAATCCCTGCTAGCCTGGACTATTCGACCCAGTTGGGTGGGTTGTTGCTGAACACAGATCATGAAGGCATCGAAACCATGGATAGTGACAGGTCTCTTTTTTCGGCAGGGAAGCCGGAGACAGCTGCAAGCTTCCTCGTCACATCCGAACATCTGGCAACCAATCTCAGAGATCGATGGATTACTCCTTACCCAGTCAGTGGATCACCTGGAAAGCCCCTTTTTGGGGAATTGGTTTCTCCATGTTTCTCCGAGTTTCTTCACTAATAGCAACAAAGCGGAAGAAACTTCTTCACCTCCGTTTCCAGGACACTAGTGAGACTTAGTGGGCAGCTCAGTGCAGCCGCTTGACCCGCAATCGACTCGCGAAAGGTAGAAAGAGGGTACTTGGACCCTCCAAACCTACAGAACAGATCATAACAGTGTCATATATTAGGGATATCCTGATTTTGCGGGACCTTCAAGCACCATTTTGCAAATGCATGTTTATACCTATAAGCAATCATATATCCTACCCTAGAGATCCACATACCTTTTCAGAAGGTACGACTGGGCCCTCCTGGCGCCTACATAAATAGTCTCCCTGCTCACCGTACCTGAGGTTGGGTACGAAAACGGATCCCTAGGGCTACCCAAAAAGGCCAGAACATCAACACGCTCCATCTTTCATGCCCGGGGCGTCCAAAGGCTCACCTGACTCACTGAGGCCCGTGAGCTATGAGTCTCAAGACCGTCGTTGGAACCCGAAGCGAAAGGGTTTGGTGGGAGGCGCCGCCGCGGTGGTGGACGGGTGGGTGAGACGGGTGACCCAAGTTGAGGAGAAAGCGCCCAAACACCAGGAATGGAGCACCAGATGATTGAAAGAAACACCTGGCAATGGCATGCTATGATATGCTATCGCTACCTGTGAGCTCCATGGCTTACATGTGGTATCATGTGGTTATATGGCATCTAGATCGAAATATATGGCTATGGCATGCTATTGCTATCCATATTGCTATTCTTATTGTGAAGAATTGCCCATGGCTTGCGCCACCGATTCATCTCCCCCGATTCGCCTCCCACGGAGAGAGCTTCCGAGCCCTTCGAGGTGGCTTCGTCGAGAGCTTCGCCTTTGGCGGTTCGCCGCCCCAGGAGCGATCGTCGAGTGATTTCTTCCGATCGGCCAAAAACGGGTTCTGTTGAAACTCACCTGGCGACGTCGAACGACCTGGCGATTTGGTTTCTCTCACCTCATAGAAGCCTTTTTGAAGTATCCCATATTTCCTATATACCGCTCATTTCATAGATTTTGATGTTCCATTCGACCATCCCCATCCATCGTCACCGTGCTACCTCGCGTCAGGAGGTGGCTGATGGGTGGATCTCCACTGAAGCGCCTTTGCAGCCCTTCTCCCTGGCCAAGGCACGTGACCATCGGTGCCGACGAAGGTCTGCGACGTGTTTTCGTGCGGTGTCACCGTGTGTCTTTGTTTGCATCCGCGACGAGTGGGAAGGACTTGAAAGATCTTGAAAGAACATCCGATGGGAGTACCGATGGGGTATGTGCAGTACTTCACTCGGTTTGAGACTTGGGGCAGATCTTCCAAGGTAGTTGCCACGGGCCATAAGTGTGTGCTCAAGTACATATAGAGCTAGGGATCAATAGAGCTAGGTTGGCTTTAGGTGTTGGGGTTGGGCTGCTTTGAAGTGAAGGAACGAACTGCTTGGGTTCCTTTGCCGTATATACTGCATCTCCCACGGGTCGAACTTCACTCGGGTCAAGGGTTCAGCCACACATGATCCCAAAGTATGCCATAAGTATATGCGGGGTTTGTCCTAATACCTGTAACAGTCAGTAAACAACTATCACTATTTTTGGACAAGGCCTTTACTAGCCATCATCATCCACTGTTACAGGTAATAGAATAGACCCAAATATATGGATGCTTACATTGGGGGCTATTTGAGGGGTTAATGTAGCTCATTTAACTATACAGTAAGTCGAAAGGCTTTGAGCGCCAGTTACTGTCGATGCTCGCTCGGCTTGGAAAGGCCTTGCCTGCATCCATGATGTTTTGTGGGCGGGGTGGACAGTTAATACCAATAATATAAGATGCCTTTGGCCAAGAGGGATTGTGCTCCAGCCTCCCTGCGGCTATGGCAGGCAAGTCGGTACTGCCAAAGTCAGACTTGGTGCGTTTGATGCGAGCACTGTAACATGAAACAAAACACGTCAGTGGGGGGGGTCGACAAATACCATGAAAGACACCTGGCTGTTTTTTATGCGTGGACGAGGTGAGACCGCATTTTCCTGACTTGAGGCGGTGGGAGTGAGCAGCGCTGGCGTCTCCGCAGTGTCTTGGGCAGCAGCGTGTGTGGTTAGATGGTGCGGAAGCTCGATGGCACCCGGGAGCCCCGGAACTCACCCTGGTAGCATTGACCTCCTCAGTATATAGTTTGCTGCTGGTTTGGGGGTCGGTGGAGTCGGTCGGTTTTGGGGTCCCGAAATGGGAAGAGAACAGGTATCCTAGGGATCCACTGCCACCTAGCTTCTCAGGTTCGGGCCGGCCCGACCCGGTCGGCGCCTACATCAACTTGTCTCCCGAACCTCACCGTACCTGAGGTTCCCTACGAAAACGGATTCCTAGGGAGTCTGTTCAGCCCGGGTTCGAGAAAGGGTTCCTCAAGTCTGGTCGAACTGCACCTCCAACACTCAAGTCTACTTGGAAGTGCCAAGTCGTTGATTGGCTTCATGTTCGGTCAACCAAGGTCCGCCCGTTTTGACCCATCGCCCATCGCCATGCTTCACAGGTTTTGGTCCATCCGAGCCAAGAAAAGTCGGATCGCAGGAGGAACCCGGGAGCCGGTGGATTTCCACTTGATACACCAGGGCGGACAGTGAAACCGTTCTACTACCTGGATGTTGGAGGTCAGCTCGGATGGCTCCCGGGATCCGCCGTTTTCGGTGCATGAATCTGGGCCCTGGGGCTCCAGTCATGCCGAATCTGAGAAGGGACTGGGGTGGGTGCCAGGTGGGTCCAGTCATACCTTCTGAGGATGTACTTGGAGCCCTAGGGGGAGGATCTGGAAGGACTCGGGAAAGGGGTCTCTCCACGAAGGCGAAGGCGTGCAGACCACGAGTTCAGTTGGTGGTGTAAACAGTATGCATGGTTGGGACGGTGGGGTGCTGGATGCAACTTGGGCTTCCAGCCATGCAGACTTTGCTGGATGAGGCGTAACTGCTGATCACGGACAACTTTAAGGTCTTCACATCTGAAATGTTTTATACCCAAAGGCTCATTGGACCGCCAGTTCCCCAGGGTGAAATGGACCGAACCAACATGTAGCAGTTGCTTCGGGGCCGAGTTCGGGTCGCCTCTGGGTAGACACGCTATAGCCTATATGACTTGGCTTAGATCCCCGGTGGGTCGAAACCGGCCGGCCTACCCTGGCGAAGACCACCGAACATCCTACACGGAATACGATTGGCTTGGCTGCCCCACCACTCATGGGGTAGAGGCATGGGGTAGAAGCTGGTCTTATCAAGGTCCAAGACCAACAGCTATAAGTTCAGCAGGGAAGTGACCCCCTACCCGGGGTTTGGACTTCCGGATTTTGACCCACTGCCACGAGTGATAGGGATATGTCAAGCAAACGAGTGGTAGGCCTGAATATCCGTCTTAGCTCCATCACCCCCTGTCAGCCAGCTTCAAGTCAAGATATCGAGAAGTAGTTGTCCTAGCATTTTTTGCCTGATGTAGTTTCAGAGGAAGCACTCTGGTCCCTCACGAAACTGACCAGCACCTGTAAGATCGCAAACTTGGACAAACACCCTTCCTTGTTTCCCCACTGTTGACCACATGAGTGACATGGGCCGCACTTTGCCCAAGTCTTCTTCCATGTCACGCCGGTCGTTGTTCGTCTCGCCTTGTCCACTGGTCACGCCTCCGGTCCGAGGCGTCGACTCAGGGGCCTCTACATGGCGTCATCAACTTAGCCAAGTTGAGCCCCAGGCGCCTCGGACCGGTCACCAAACGTGACGAGCGGTCGCGTGACGAGCGGACGGGAGGTGATTCCCCCGTTGGGGTCGAAGAGCGAAGGTTTGGATGCTGAGTCGAGTCGTGTCGACTTTTTGAGAGTCGATATGTTTTAAATGTTTTCCATTTGGGCACATCACTTTCGACATAGGTTTCACACTGATTCACATGTTGCTTGAATCGTACCCTT